TACAGGTGACAAAAGGATTTAACGACGAAAATGTAATTAAACTACAGAGGATTGCACACACGACATAAGCGATCTGTAAATATAACTTCCGTTACGAGGATAATTGAAAAGCGTATCTCTTGGGCTTTTTCTGAGCAATCGAACGTCCGGGCAAAATCGATGGCACGATAAACAAGCCGAGAGCGACTCACGGATCGCATTAATCTGCCTCCGCTCGCGATTCTCGTATCCAATTTGTCAATGAAACATACAGCGAAAAACTGCAACCTGGGTTAAAAATTTTCGAACGGACGATGATAGACGCGCGGCCTGCGCGCATTTTACCATCAACTATTCCCGCATTTCACGTTATTATTTATCGCAGCTAATTGGATTCGCTATCATCAAGCTGTAGATATTGCCATTTGAACGATAGTCTGTAATATCGTTTTTCTCTTCTCGACCCTCCACAGAGACGTGATGGCAACGAAGAAATTTTTATGCCCCCGCGAAAATGCGAATTCTATTTTATTAATATTTGACGAATATGCGCGTCGGGGAATATCTCCATTTTTCCATGAGAAGATTAATTATCCGATTCCTTCGGCTGGATATTTTTATCAGTTCTCTAGGGCAAGATTAAGCTGCGCAAAATGGAAGCGCGGACGTGTGGGAGGAAGACAAAAGCGCGTCACGATCTATTTAGCATAGTTACGAAAGATTCATCATTGTTGCAAAGTTACCAAAGCCATGAAATCGCGCAACGCGTGCTTGACGGGGCATGTAATTAGTATGTTAATTCATTCACCAACAACTCGTATCCAGGATCTAGGCATCCTGCACCGGGATGCGTCGTGTATTATGCAACGGATAATTCTCAGCTGTCATTCGCGCGATCGTTCGAATGTAACGCAAACGCATACAAACACTTCTATTCTATTCGGGCGAGATCCGGCCGCTTCTCGCGGACCGGCGAGAGAATGTAAATCGAATCGGCATCGATTCGTCTCGACGAATCGCGACTTCGACTGTGTCAGTCACGCGATAAGAATAGGAATAATCGCGGTGTAGAATCGACCGCGCGGCGGTGCGTTGAGGAAATGACCAGAGAACGTCGATTCATTATGATATTAATATGCTTAAAAAGCTACTGAACTACTCATCTGCATTACCGATAGAATGTGATATTTTTAATATCGACTTTTTATTAATTTTATAGACTGGGAAATCTTTTTCCATAATTAAAGTTTATGTATTAATACGTGTCTATGGAATTCGTTTGACAAAAGTTGTTTAATTTAGATTTTTTTTTTACGATTTATCACTCTATGGCATCCAGAGCTGTCAAGTCGCATCAATATTTGCTTTAAAAATTGTACAGCTGTACTTACAAAACTAATATGGCTAGAATATTAAACGAAGAAAATATTGAGTTCTTAGAATTAGATTTAGAATTAGATATTAATGTGATATAAAAAAATCAACATAAAAATTTGGGTGTAAAAGTGTACAAGTATATAAATACATCTATGTATATATATTTAGATATGTGTAAACGTTTTCGTAGAAATTCACTCTTCAACCTCATCGCATCACCTTAACCTTGTGTCGCATGGAACCTCTAAATTCGAGATATTTTTTTTTGTTTAACTGAAAAAAAGTACTTTGAATTTAGAAGTGTCATGCGATACACATACGATTAAGAGTGAAACCATTGTGATTAGTGACGAACAAACGGTTGGCGAGATTTCAAAATTTTCGTCCGTTTATCGTACGGGCCACCGGTGGCACGTCGGAATAATATTTCCACCGCTCGACATTGGGATCACGTTGATAGTGCGTCGGCGTTTTAATTAATCGATCGCGCGCAATTAATTCATCGGCGCAATCGACGGCGGTTCGCCGTCCCCACCGTGTGAGCCATAATAATGGGCTTGCGAGAGCCAGAGCGGCGTTGTTTCACGGGACGCGACACGGGTCGCCGTTCCCCCGTCTACGCGCTGGGTCCTTCTTATTTAAACTAATTGATTTATTACGCAGGCCGTTGTTAGGCGAGCGCCTTTCTTTAATAATCCCTCATTGGACCCGGGGAATAAGGGACGACGCCATCGCGAAAACTTATGCAAGCGACGTCTAGGAGCTCCGCGCTCTAACACGGACGGGAGAAATGAATATATTTAACAAATTAAAATAGATCGTGACGGTCATCCAAATGCACGATACTCCCCCACGAGCTCCGTACATGTATTCCCTTGTTAGATAATTCTTAATTAAATTAATTTCGATAAAAAAGAATTGATTTTACCTCTTATTTTTTTACCTTGCGGCATTATCAATTGCCGTATTTATAATAATAATTAAGTATATATATATATATATATATATATATATATATATATACTAATATATATATATATAA